CAGGTAATTGCTCCATTATACAGGTCCTGCCTTATCTTTTCCCCCTTGTTTGCAACCGTGGGTGTCAGGAGAGAGTTGATCAATCAGATGATAAACTCCCTTTTTCTGTCTTCATCCCATTGGACTGTGAAGATGTGGTTTAATTAGTTTTCTATCTATTTGTATTCTTAAAGTAGAAAGATGCTTCATGAGGAAATAACAGGTTTCTCTAGAGACTCTCAGGTTTTCCTAGCAACTTTCTTTTAAGTTCCTGCTCTCTCAGCCTGATAAGTCTCCTTTGCTTTCATTCTTTTGCTGGCATGGCTTGCACTGGAGTGAAGTCACCAAAATTAGTTTCCTGAGCTGAGTGGTGCCTGTGCTGTGAGAAATCACTGATTCTGCTTCTAGGAATTTTGCTCTTGTGCTTTTCTACACCCTGACACCCGTGGAGAGGGGAGCACTGTTTCCAGCTTCTATGGGTGGTGGTTGCTTAACACTCAGTAGGTATTTTAACCTGTGTCCTTGGTGCAGTTAACTGCTTGTAAGGCAGATTTTGTTTGCTCTTAGGCAAGTTTTGATTTGTTTGTGCTCACATCTTGTCTGTGTGGTCACTCCCAAACACAGGAATCACAGTGGTGAGAGCTGGCTTTACACCATAAGCAGTGGAAAAAGCATGTTTGGAGCTACTTCTTGGCACTTTGCTGCTTAATGTTAAAATATTGAAACAAAATAAAGCAACAATCTTTCTTGGTCTGCAGTTTCCAGAGAAATTACTGGACTCCAGGAGGAGTCAAGCCATTATGGGTAATCCTGCTTCCCGTACAGTGCTGGCAGTGCTTGGCTCTGTAACATTTGTTGGCTGAGATGCTGTGAGTGATACCTGGCTCTGGAGCTGAGTGCTTCCAAAGGCCTTGTTCCCATTGCTGGTTCCCGTTCTGATACGTCAGTGGGACCGAGGAGGGTCTGTGGAAGGTAGGATTGCTCAGGGACCCCACAGGATGGGGTTTGGGGCTCTTTACAGCTTGAACTGGATGCTTGACCTGCATCATTGGCTGTTTGAGTACCTGAGCCTCTGGCTGGCTGAGTGGCATTTCTGGTCAGCAGATGACAGTGGTGGTTAGGAAAAACTTCTGTAACTGAAAGATGCATTGAAATTGGTGTATTTGCAAAGAACTATGGCTTTTCACAACTAGCAAATCCCCTGCCCTCAGTTTTTCATGTAGCAGCAGGAATACTCAAGGTTGACTTGTGTTATGTGTCTCAGTAGGTTTCAGTTCACTCTGGACAGAGTAGAAGCCACTCATTGACTAGAAGGTGCCACAGCCTTAAATTCATCGGGGAAAGCTCGAAAGTGGTCAAACCTTCTCTTTGTTGTGTGATTCTGGGTTAAAAATCTGTGTCATTAGAATCAGCATTCCACTGGATTATGAGTGAGGGGCTGGGAGCAGAGGCTTTGGGGGCACCACCAGCAGCTCTGTGGCTACATGCCCAAGGGTGCTGGTCTGCAGCACCCAGCCGTGGTTGTGACATGGATGAGGGTGGCTGAGGGACATAACTGAGGGACACTGGTTATGCACCGGCAGGCAGTGAAGGAGACTGGTGGCAAACCCCTAATTATGGAAGGAAGGCATCAGGGACCAGTTCTCTGGTTCCTCAACCACAAAGAAGGAGCTCTGTGATGCTTGAGCCGATAGTTTGAGGCTCTTCTTCCTCTGTTCTTCCAGGGAACAACATAGAAATGTATCTGGACATTTGACTCTTTTGGTGGTATTTTGAGCCATTTTGTTTTGCTTTCCCTGGGTTTCTGGTGAGATCTGGTGTTTGTCAGCTCCTGCCCAGAATGGCTATGGAGTGTTGTAGTATTAATTCACTGCTCCTGCCCTTGTTAGCTCTGGGTGGCATCTTTGAGGACAGCTGAGACAAATCCTGAAACTCTTGTGCAGTTGTAGATTAGAAGGTGTTGTGTAAACTGTAGTGAATGGAACTGCACTTGCAAATAACTTCTTGTTTCTGCTTACTTATGCACCATGGAATTGTAGCTCAATACTTAAAGTAATACAAAGTTTTGCCATGGTGTTTTTTTTGGTTGGGTTTTTGGTATTTCTTTATACATGGAGTGCTTATGGCTAGTTGTTAGCACTGGAAAGCTAAATGCAAATGTCTGAGGAAAAACGTCTGAAACACATACAAGAGGAGCTGGGAATTAGAGCAAACCCAGAAGCAAATGGATTAGAAAGCAACTGTGGCTGAACATGTAGCTGTAGCTAAAACATAATCAAACTATAATAAGACCTCTTGCAAATACAGCACGTGCTATAGTTTTGCTCATCCCTTACTTTGTCCCCCTGCTATACAGTTCTTTGCACTGTACTTTTGAAACAGAGCACTGTGATTTTTTTAAATTGCAAATTGAGGGGAGGATATGAATCTTATCGACATAGCTCTTCACAGTACATAGAAACAATTTTTCCCATGGGGTTGAACATACAATTGGACATAGCAAATGTGAAAGCAGTGAGGTTATGAGTCTGCTTTTTTTTTTTTTTTGAAGTTGAGGGATTTAACATGCTACGAGCAAGCTGCAGGGTCTTGTAAGATTCAAGCAGCAGCAGAGGAGTGATCTCTGCAAACACACCTCCACCTCTGAGAGGGGCTGTGGGGACTTGAGGTTCTTGGAGCAGAGGGAAGCAGAGGTGCCCCCAGCAGCAAATGTAAAGCGCTGCATTGAGACAAGTAGGACTGAAGCAGGGAAATATTTCACACAACTGAGGTTCCTCAAGGAACAGGCATCAAAATAGAAAGTTTGTTGGGAGGGAATGTGCTGGTTATTAAATAGCAAGTATTTAGCTGGTAGAGGCTAGTAGTAGCCTCTAGCTAGTGATAAAAGCTGGATTGTAACATCTGAACTGTTGGGTAAGAGCAGCAGGATCACAACTGTGAGATCTTAGAGCAGTGCAAGAAAGCTGAAAAACTTTGACCATGTATTTTACTAAACAAAACTAAAACCAGCTGAGGTCAACCAGCACCACAGTTGCCTGCTGCAGAGGCACTCCCAAAGCCTTGGCCTTAGCCATAGCTGCTGGACCATGTCGTTTGGGGAGGCTGAATCCAGCAGCTTGGCAGCAGCGAGCCATGCCCCAGGGCCAGCCACTAGTGGGGGTGAGAACGTGTTCCCTGTGAGCAGGTCCATGCACACACAGACAGACCTACACAGAACCTATATGTATGTATGTATATGGCCAGCAACACAGAGCAGCACAGATGTACTCAGCACTCATGCAAAGCCCCTTATTCCTCTGTTTTCCCATCTTTGGGAAATCACCTATAGTCCTTGCTTTGCCCACATTTGATGCCTCCTCTAAACATCCCCCAAGTCTTGTGCAATGCCAGAATGCTCTTCCCCTGCATACTCCTTGGCAATGTCTGCCCTCCTTCCCACCCCCTACCCCCCTGCCAAAGGTGCTCTGGAGATTTGCTCCTGTTGTCTTACCCTGATGGGTTGGCACCAGGGCTGAGGCTCTCTGGGGATGGCTCTGAGAGGGGGTCTGGACAGACTGCCCTTTCCTCAGAGTCCCTCACTTGGCTTCCCTCCTGCCTGTGTGCTCCTCTGGGATTGTGGTGCTGGGCCTTTGGTGGGCTGACTTCCAGGGGTCTGGCAGTAGCAGGGGCAGCATTACATGGTGCATCAGTTTGCCATTACTTGTGTGCTCCTTTGGATATATGCTGATGAACTTTTTCAAATCACATAACCTACCATTACTGTGGTGTCACTATTTGTGGCATCAGAATCTTTTAACTATCCTCCATGGCTGAAATAAATAACTTTGGACTCCTTCTGTCATGTGCATTGCTAACCATAACACCTCTCTGAGCTTCTGAGTACCAGCAAGTACCCTTGTCATAGGGTGTTGCTCCTTGGCAGATGAATCAATGGATGTGCCAGTATAATAAAGTCACACTGACATTTTTTTTTTTAACTTGAGGTGCTCAAGACTCTAATAGTAGCTCTGTGCTACTCTTATTGATGGTGTGAAAGCAATGCACAATTGAAGGGATAAAATATTAATAATGAGTGCCATCTTTAATGTCCTCTAAAATGTCAGTAGGGGAATGGTGAAAGGCAAACAACCTTCCACAGAGCAGCCGCAAAGTGTACACAGAAAGTCTGGAGAGAATATGTAAGTTTTAGACAGAGGTTTCCAAAGGCAAGGTTGATTACAGTGCATTTACTTATAGGGTGGGTGAGAAATGTGGGTCAAACCACTGGTACTGAGAGCTAACAGCCTGCTGGGCTCTAACTGGATTCTGCAGCTGTGTGACTTGCTCCATCCACCACTTCGTGCGGGGATAAATGCATAAAACCAGGAGAGCAAAACCCCGTGTTTTATCTCTTCTCATAGTATTCAGACAGGAACTCTGACTCTTGCTGACCGTTTCCTGGATTTGGCAGACTGCTTTTTGATGCATAATCTTTCCTCCTGCATTTCCTCTAGGACAGACTAATCCCAAGATTAAGGCAGATCAGATGAAAGGCTGTTTCCGTAGCAGATGCTGTCATATGAGTGCCAAGTTCCTCTTGTGATAGAGCAAGGCCATAGGGCAATGCAGACGGTGGGGCAAATCCTGTTTGTCTTGACAAATTCTCAACTCGGTCCTAGTTCTCTTTTTTCCCCTGCAGAAAACAAGCCACACCAAGCATCCAATTAAGAGACCAAATTGCCTGAAATTCTAACCCAGGCTTGTATTTTCATCTCTCGTGGATGATTGGCAGTAAGGTTTGCATTTGTTCATGTTTAACATGTTGAGTAGCAGTTTGCGTGGTCCTGGAGCCAGCTACAGGAGGGAGCTGCCTGCTGACTACCACAAGAATTGCACTGTGCAGCTGCATGCCCGCAGCTATGCTGGAAAATGAGACAGCAGATCCAAGAGCCACTCTCAAAAATTACTTAAGCAGGTCTAATAAGTAAGTCCTTTAACAAAAATTGATACTACTGAGACTGTTCCGTAAAATCACAGCAGTTTATTTCACTATCATCTCTGGACGAGGCTTTCTACTAAACAGAGAAAACAAGGTTATCTATGAGGTGTACCTGTTATTTCAATAGTTAGATTGGAGATCTTAACGTCCTTCTGACACAAAATGTTACAGTTCCTATGACAACTGTTCCTTTCTCCTCTGGAGCATGGACAAACGATAGCATTTCATTACATGATCATGTAATGCTGGGCACCATGACAGCCTTGTCATCTCCGCTCTGGTGTTTGCTCCTAAATGGCATTTAGCTGAAGCCCGCGTGTATTGTGCAGAGCATGAACTGCGCTTACTACCTGCCACCTCTGACTCCCCAGCTTCCTGCTTTTCGTTAGTAGGGTCACCTTCTACCAAAATACATTAGGTATGCTGAATTTTATTAACAAAAATTTTTGGAAATTTGTTTCTGCAGTAGCAATTCTATACACTGAGTAACATTAATTAACAATAGTATCTTAACAAGTACACGGAGTACTAATCTATATCAAACCAATCTGCTGACAGAAATTCATGAGTATAGCAGCCAAAACAGACTATGCAGCAGATTCCTGTAGTTACTTCTGCAACACATTTAGGAGAAATTATAACAAGTTGAACAGATATATTAAAAGACTTTATTCACAATAGAGAAATTTTTACAAATATAAGTTCTTAAAAAGTAAGCATCTTGATCTATTATGTATTCCATAATTTCAGTTTATATAAAGATGAAAAGACTAAATGGATTATGTACAAATCAAACCCAATTTAAATACATGATAGAAATGGATAATATGTATGATGAAGTCACCATAGAAACAGTGAGCATTGGGCATTGCAAAAATCTGTGTACAACCAACACATATGCAATACTTATCTCACGAACAATCAACTTTATTTTCCTCCATGAAACGATGTGGGTGCCATTTAAAGTGATCTACCTCTTACAACTTAACTTATGCAGATTTAAATGTGTTGTTATGCTACAAAGATATGGAAGAAGTATAGGCAGTGTGTTTATGCGAAGATAATGCCTCCAAACACCCCCCTCCCCCCCAACAATAAAGCAATTTCTTTTGCTCTTATGAATGACTGGGAACACAAAGTGACCATCACTAGCCACTTCCATGCAGCTAGTTAAGTGAACGGGAAATAAAACGCAGGTTATCTCAGCAATCTCACAAGCAGTGGTAAGTACTGACTGTTTCAAAATGATTGCTCTAACTTTGGTGTTTGGGGGTTATTTAAAAAAAAAAAAAAGAAGAAAAAACCAATATATTCTCAGTTTATGAAAACGTTTTTTTTTCTTACAATTGGCAGATCTACACGTTGTACAATCTTCTTGTCTACTTACATTAGTTTACAAAAAGTACAGTATAGTGCAGTTTGTACATACAACCTGAATACCAGTATCAGTCACATCAAATTTGTGCTCTTTCAGATCATTATAACTCCCAAACTAAAAAAAAAATAGTATTCATACTAAATGTCTGTATTACAAGAAAACAGTCATGATGCTTATATTTAAGTACATAGGTCCCAATGCATACAAGAGTTGTGTATTTGTAGCCTACTTTTTGAAACATGGAGAAGAGCTATCTGGTTCTCCACTGTTTTTCTACAGCTTGTTAAGTGAAGGCAGGATCACTAGACACATCTGGGGGAAGCACACTGTGGTTAAGAAAACCATGTAAAAAGAGGCTTACAAAACATTTCTCAAAGGCTGCTTTTGTCAGAGCTACTGTAGTTATTTAACTGATATGAGGCCTATAGCAGCACATGCACAACCATGTGGGTAGGCAGCAGCAGGTGACCCAATAAAGATAACTAAGACAAAAGTAATTATTATTACTTTTTGGTTAAAGAGGGAAGAGAATTTGTTTTTTATTCCACAGCTATAATTTCTCTGTGGTACTTGGGGGGATTAAAAAAAAGCTCTCTTAAAAATACTGTTTCTGAAGAAATACAATGAAATATAGTCCTCCAATGATATACATTCTGGAGTATCAAAATCAGCAGGAGTTCTGCTTTTCAACAGAGCCAAGACTTCATCCTTGCTTGTTCAGTTTCAGAAAACTGTTACTGTGACATGAGGGAATCCATACTTTAAAAAGAAAATAATAATAATTAATAGTTAAAAAAAGGCAGTAAAGCAAAATATTTTGAGCCACCGTGCCGGTTCCATGTAAGCTGGCTTTACCTGAGGCTGATGCACATACACGTGTATCCGTTCTCCCAGTGCTGGGTGGCCCAGGCTCAGCAGGGTACCCCTATTAACCGCCATGTACAAATGCTGAGCTCTGCCAGGCCTGAGATGGAAGGATCAGCATCACTGAAGCTCCTCTTGGCTTGCCCTCTACATGACTGTCTTTGGCAGTTTATGTGGCACATGTCATCTTCCCTGTCTGCAGGGGAAGCAGAGAGGCAGTGCTGTCTTTACAGGCTTCAGAGGGTAAAAAGTTTATGGGTCAGCCTCCAGCTGCTATACATAAAAACATAGTTATCTTTGCTCTTGGCTTCTGCCTAAGAAAACCTAAATTAGAGACCTATATCAGTATAGAAAAAAATGTACTCCGTAATGCTTAAACAAATGTGCTTCCACAGCTGTGATTAACTGCTGGACATGTGAGCTATCCTACTAAATACCTTTAAAGAAGATTACTGCTCAGAACCATATTTGTTTCGTTGTAGTCCAATCAGTGAATAATGTGCTTTCTCAGAATGGGAAGCCAGGTGTTGTACCCTACTCAAAATATATGAGAGTCATCCTGTCACTAAATGAAAACATAGGTAGACTTAATAATCATGTAAACTACTCCAAACTACACTTAAGTAGAAACAGGAATTAATCATGTCTCTTTTTTTCCCTTTGGTGATGCCACAAAGTAAAACATTTTTGGCAAAGCTGTTACTTAGTAAGACAGGCCTCTGATCTAGGGAATATTTTTAAGCACTCTGTGTTTCTCTCACTTAGAGAAGACAGACTCGGTGCTTTTAGGAAGTTTTAGTTATATGCTGGACGGTTTCCTCTCTGAATGTTTATCTTCTTTTAAGGAGACAAGTTTTCTTCAAGGCATATGAACTTCTAGCATTATTCATGTAGATACATTAAATTGCTTTGTGACAATAAACTATCAAGTCTGGTGTCAAGTCTGAACCTATGTGAATGTTTGAGAAAGTCCCAGGAAACCAAAAAAATTCTCTCTGGCATAATTTTCAGCTTCCAGGAAAATGTCACTGAGTATTTTTTTGCCTTTTTACCATCCAACCAAATGAAAGCTACTGGACTAAATACATAAAGAAGGTAAGACTCCCTTTCTTAATCAGAAATTAATATCTTATTTTACTCCATAGTAGCCTCACTAAAGATGTGAGAATAACACCACTTAGAAAAGGGAGGAAACAATTTATTCTATTACAATATTCTAATCAAAACCTGAAAAAACTGAGGTCTGCTAACTAATGTGCTAAATTCATAGAAACTAGTATAGTCTGACTTCAACGTATACTGCAGCTTCAGAGTCATGTCTGCATGAGATGAAAATATTCCTATGTAGACTTCATTGACAATGAAATATATCAGATATTTTACCAAGTAATGATAGACCCGCATAAGAAGAGGCTGTCACAGTCACAAGATTTGTCTTGGATGACACACAAAACAAATTAACATAGAACAAAAAAACAGAAAAAAAGCTCTTTATACTTAATTCAATATGGCTTTTTGCAACATGGCAAAATATTACAGCTTAAAGCAGACATCTCCTCACAGAGGAGAAAAGAATTTTGCAGTCAAATTAAAAGCATAACAGGAAACAAGTAACATGCAGACCCTCTGCTCTTTTTGGCCAAGATGACAGTGCAGCCTAACAAAATCTGGAGAGATGTCCTATTTCTCTTCTAAGAAGTATTTCAGACGGATTAGAGAACTGAGGTTTTATCATAATTAGTTCGGGTCCATTCATAAGTATTTACTGGAAAAGAAAACAGACTGCAAAACACTTGATTTAAAAATTTAACTCAGGAATTTAAAACCAAATCACGTGTTCAAGTCCTGGAAAGAAACATAAGGAATGCAACAAAGTATAACTTAATCTTCATCTATTTCTGGTTTTCTTCTTTATTCCCATTGTCTTTGTGAAGAACAGGGAGAGGATGAGCCTCTGTGTTGAAGACCCAGTGTTCGAATGGAAGAAGATCATCTTCAGAAAACAGCAAATACAAGTACCTGGCAAGAAAAAAAAAACAACAAATGTGACCACATCAGGGAAGTCGAACTACAGTAGTTTTCAGGAAAACATAAAATACTTGATTTCCCTAGATGAATGCATCAATGGAAACAGCTGACCACACCCAAAACACCAGTAAGTCCCAGCATCACAGTGATTAGCACAGAACTTCAGGGCTACTCAACTTAGATTGAAATCAAGGGCAATAGCAACTGCAGACCAACAAAAGAATGCCTCCATCCTGATAGAGGACAAAGAAGTTTAGACCATCAAGGTTCTCTTTGCTTCCATTTCATCCTTGGTAATTTTATTACATATCATTTTGATAATATACAACCACAATAATTTTTTTCCTCCTGGATGTCCACATATATCAAGGTGTAAGAATTAAAATACTGTAGTCCAATCCTGTCTTACTGCTGAGAACAACCTGTGGCTTATGATTTTTAAAGAAAAAAAATAGCATTAGACCAGTAGCTTGGGCACCTATTTACTAAGACAGGATCTATTAAACCCAGCAGTAACCAAGAAACAAATCCAACATTTAATTTGTTGTTATGATACAAGGTAGTATCTATTGTAGCATGATTACTGGTCTTCTTATGGATGAAAGTCTGCTTAGCAAATGGAATTTTATTTTTTTCTCAATCACTGTTCCCTGAAGGCTTTTCTTGCTCTAATTATGATAGACCAATTTAAAAGGTATAGAGTAGAGGGAGCACATTATCTCAAAAAAAATGCCACCATGTTTATAAACATATTTATGATATTTCATTTACTTGAGTATTACACTTTCTGTTGAAATATCATGTTTGCTTCTTTCTGGTCCTTGCAACTTTTCTTGCACAGAAAAAAAAAAAAAAAAAAAAAAAAAAAAAATGAAGAGATCAAGACAAAACTTCCTTTATTTCATTAACAACTTAGGAGACGGTGATAGATAATGAAAGCTTTTGGTTTTCTATCTCAACAGGCCCTTGAGCTTACCATGCTATTTTCTTTTTCTGTAGTTTTAAAATGAAAAGTATGCAATACAAGCCTGATAAATCCTCTGTCTAGTTAATCTGTTTCACTAGTGTTGGCATATGTAATTAGATTCTATCAAATCTAGGTGACGTAAACAGACTATCAAGTACTTTATCAGAAGTAAAGATAATTTCCAGAAATCACAGGATTTAGTTTATTGATATAGAAGAGAAAAAAACCACAAACCACAAAAAACCCAAACAATTTGGCTTCCCATCACCCAAGAAAAGCTCTACTATTTCAGTCAGATTTTGTTATGGGAATGTCAAGGGTACTAATGATAAATACGTATCTGTAAAGATGATACATAGAACTACTTCATATTAATAAAAGTCAGCTTTCTTAACTTACTTGAGTGTCTCTGAAAGGAAGAAACTTTGCTGCACATCATCATGGCTTTCATGATTGTTATAAACATCTCTAATGCCAGAATAGCCACCATCTACCCTGCAGTGTTTTTCCAGTGCCTGAAGAGGTAGGAAAAAAATACCCAGTGGGATTAACAAAATGAATCATGTCAGTTTTTCTTTGACAATAAAACTAGCCAAAAAAATTTGTCACTAATTTTTTGATAAAGAGATGAAAACTAGATAAAGCCTTAAATAGAAAACTCTTTTTAAAGACATAGGCACACATGTCTAATTTTACATTTAGGAAGAGAAGCAAAATACTAAATTAATAAAAGAAGTGAACACAAACCAGTTTTCAGAAGGAAAGATATACAGATGTAAAGATATATGGATTTTCCCTTATATTCTTTTTCCTCTTTTCAGTAGGAATAACAATAGCCTTTTTCTCACAGGCTTGTCTATCAGCCTTCAGAGATTGTGTCACATATATATTTCTTGGTCATATTTTAGTGCTTACAAATTACTGTGATAGAATTGAGTACCATGATAAAGACCAGTCTTTTCCTTACCTCCTGCAGGTCGCTTCAAAAAAGGAAAGGCAATGCTCCATTTTTTATGTAAGTTGTTTGGTTTCTCTTTGCAATTATTTAATTTTTTCAATGGGAAACCTCTGATATTGGGCTTGTGACTGAATTTCTTTTCTGCAGTAGGTACTATATTTTTTTGGCACCTTTCTGAAAAAGCTGTCTGTTACACAGGAGTAGACAGAAAGCTAGTATGCATCTGGACTTAAGGCAACATGTTTGAGATTTAAGTATAAGAATGTGTTTGTCCCTAATTAGTTTCCAAACTGTGTATGCAGGTAAAAGGTATAAAACAGATGACTGATTCCTATTTTCCAACAAAAAAGAGCACATGGACCACCTAAAAATATAATTTCTTTTCTCCTGACAGTAATGATCTATATGATCATCTAATTATGAAGGAAAAAAAGATACGATGAAGGGTGTATACAGAAGGGCAAAAACCCATGTACCTGGTGTTGGAAGTGTAGAAGGTATATACAGTTATACTATTTAATAAACTTTGCTGTTTTCTTTTATTTTAGAGAGGTGTTTACATTATAAAGGTGCCTGTATATGAGCCATAACTTCTTTAAATATACTGCTATTCAATAGCTTATTTGAATATTAGTTCTCTTATCACTTCTTTGTTTAAAAATATTCATTCACCTTTTTTCTTTATAATTGACCTATTTAACAAGGTTGAAAGTATTCTTAGCCTCTTCATTTTTCTTAATTCTGTATCATAACTCTCTGGTATCGTGCAGTATGATAAAGGAGCCAAGAGGATCTAAGATGATTAAATTTTAAACAACTCATTATTAAAAAAAATAATGCAGAAAATGCTCTTTAGCCCTAAATAACATGTCACAATGAAAATGACAGTAAGCATAGTGGATTACTACATTCACTCAGAGCCACACTACTCTGAAACGTGCTTGCTGTGGAGACGGATTTTGGAACAACTTTTAGGCAGAAATACCTGCAGCTTTATCAAAGCCCTGACAGAGGGATGGAAGACAACTAGTTCCTCCATTTCTGAAGTTATTACAAATATCACTGACGTGATTACAGGATGTGTAGATTTTATTTAGGGAAAGATGCTGCATTTCAAACCACATATGGCAAAAACCTATGAAAAGGTTGAAGATATGTCTAAACAAGCAAAGGCAGAATAAGCATTTTCTGATGAGAGATGAGATTAAAGTCACTAATAATTACTGAGGTATCTACCACCTCCACCTACTCTAAAGGCTGTTGAAGATCTGTGTTTTGCTGTGGGTAGATATCCTAAATGTCCTTGTTTTTGCTGGAGTCCTTGTAGCTATCTGCATATATTTAGGTTGCATGTCAGGCTCTCCATAGTTTTCACTGGAGACTAAGCTGCCTATTGTATATTTAAAAGGGATTTTTTTCTAAGAGAAATCTTTTAAAATATAACAGGCCTATTTGTCTTTTCTTATGCGTCTTTAGGTTTTTTAATTTTCCTGGATCCTTTTACTAAGTGACAAATATACTTAAGTTTAAACAAGTAATTTCCCCTGGCTGGTACTTCTTCCCTCTTGTCTACTTCAACCTGCAGTGAATTCAAAATGCTGATTCTGTGTCTGGATTTTCAATGTCAAACACAAGATTATGTTTTCCAAGGCACAGCAGAAGGAGAACTTGAACTTGAAGGATAAGGCTATTATTCAAGGAAACATCTGCATTCTAAACAGGGTGAGGTAAAATAAAAGCAAATTGCATTTGCAGTTTATGTGCTCCAACATGTAGTTAGAGCCTTCTTTATGAGTTCACTGTAGGGAGATACCATATAGGTACCTGAACACACTGCTGTGATGTAAACTAAGAGGTTGACTTGTACCATGTTAGCCATCTGGTGATATCTACTTGATGCAAACATGAAGCATCTTACCTCCTCAAAGCTACTTTCCACTTAACTAAAGGAACAGGAAATTCATGTGCAGCATTAGTATGATAAAAAGGCTCTTGGTTGTCAGCCTCCTTTAACTGGCAGTAATGTCCTTTTGTGCACATACCTGCAGTTTCAGAGTACAGTGATGTTCACACTGACAGTGGGGTAGTGGTGGGTGGGAAGAAACAATCAAACACATTTTAAATTAGTAGTTCTCAGAAAATGAGGGTGGCTAAGATCAGTTATGCTAGAGTAATGGAAAACATCAAGCGAAGTGAAAACTGGCTGACAGTCTAAAAGTATCATAAAGGGAAAAAACAAAGGAAGTGCTATGAATTCAAAATATGTGCCACATCTATAATGCAGAAAGGGAGACTTTCATGAGCTAAGCTGATAAAACCTTTCTGACTCAGTAACAGTGGATATTGCTGTTGGTCATAACTGCATTTTCTCCAACTGCTGAAGTACATACAGAATGATCTTGCCCTCAAATTAAAGCAGCAAACCAAGCTTCTAAAGAAAAAATTGTGAAGCCAGAGCATGTGTTTAGTCTACAAAAGTTAGAGAAAGAATTAATAGACTTCTTGAAGAGTTTAGAAGTCACAACTGACAGAGCAGCCTCCTTTTCTACTACAAGGGCACTGGGAAACGAATTCTCACTGACAGTGTCATGAGTTGAAAATGGGCATGAAACACCTGAACAACTTTTTTGGGCAACAACAAACGGTCTGACTGTTCTCCCTTTTTTATTGTTTCAATCTCAGCTTCCTCTTCGTGCAACAGGTGTTGGTAACAAAGCATATTCAGTGGTCAGGGACACTTCCCCAAGAACAAAAGGGTGGAGTGCTGTGCTCTCTGGTGCAAGAATAAGGAACGAGAGGCAGCACAATTTCTGAAAGAGTTGTGGTAAGCTATCATGACACATGCTGGAACAAAAAAAATACAGTTTCAGGTGGAGCTGTATGGGCTATATAAACATCAAGGAAGAAGAGAAAAAAAAAGAAAAAGAAGATTTGAAACCTACAACTCTGTAACTTCTGTGAAGCTGTAAGATTTGTTTTTGTGAAACATGCAATTGCACATTAGGACAGTGGAAGATGGGCCTGTACAGCATGGGACCAGCTGCATCTCCCACACGTGGGCTATAATCCACTATGTTAGCATCAGATGAGAGTAACCACAGGAATGTTTAACAGGGAATGCATGGGGAGCATTAAGAAGGCAAACAAGTGTACAAACTTGAAATAAACCCAAACAAACTGAACCATGAGGGTAAAGAATAACAATAAGGAAAACATTTAAATTGTTTACAATAATAATGTTATCAGTGTGGGCAGCAACCACAAGTCAGGAAAAAGACCTCCTGGAGAAGGAACAATTGGCATTGCTGAAGCCTGGTGGGATGACTTCCATAAACAGCCATTGTATATATTCCAATTATAATCTGCCTGGGAAGATTCCACTAGTGAAATGTGTGCTTGAGTGGTGTTAGCAAAAAAGAAAGCAAGGGAACAGGACTCTAAATTAGAGGCTTTTTAAAAAAAAAAAAAAAAAAAAAAAAAAAAAAAAAAAAAAATTGCTTTGGAATCATTAACTCAGAAGCATAATATTTCAGGACCAATAGAGCCAACCCGAGGGAGGCAAATAAAATGTCCTAAATAAATACAGTCTACCTAGCTGAACACAGTGTTGACTGCAGATATGGAATTGCTGTGACTATTCAAACAAGGAGAAGTTAGAGAGTAGAAGTATAGTTAATGCTAGCAGCTATTCTTTTATGGAAAGCAGATTTTACCATAAATTTAATTCTTCAAGGATATCTAATTACCAAACTTGAAATGCTCTTTTCTTCACAACACTCAACAACATTTGCACAACATTTGAGATACGTTCGGTATCTTGCACAGTGAATACTGAATACAATTACAGATCTTTGTTGCTGTTAAGGGAGCCACATGGTTGTCCAGTCACAGCCAGGTACATGGAGTCATAATCCAGTAACAGCTCTCTACTAGGGTCCTCGGGGATGAGAAACTGCATGACACAAGTCTACATGTTCTTCCCTTAGTACAGAGCAACCTTCTACAACTAGTGGTGTAGGCTCATCCAAGAAAGTTATGATCATACACTCCTAGAAACAAGAGGTGTTGGGCAAACTGACAGTGGGATGTTTCTGAAATGCTGGAAAGCAATGGCTCTGCAAAGAGAGGTCCCTGTGAACAAAATACTGTAGAGTGTTGACTTTTTTAAAATTTTATTTTTCTTAAGAATACAGAGCCGCAAGAATAATGTTCTTCAGCTTTCTGTATCTCCTTTAAGATCTCAGTCTGCTTAGAAATTCCAGAGTAAGAGTGAAAGGCAGATAATTTATCAAGGGCAACATCAGTGTGAGAAGAAGATAAGTGAACTCTAGAATAAGGACCCATACCTGGAGGATGAAACATGGTAAAGCCAAAGGCTCTCATCTCTAATGGTAGGAAAGATTAAACACTGAAATAAGGGAAACAATGGATTTGGCAAGCCTATTTTTGCAGTATAGACTGGCTGCCCAATTGGAAGGCTTGTGCTAGACAAACAGCATGCCTGGTTGAAGCTCAAACACCAGTGGGACACAGAAATTTAAATCTAGAAGAGATTGTTATCATTAATGGAGTTCAGCACAGATGACCTATGCTTTTTGAAAGTGACCCCCCTTTTAAAAATATTTGGTACTCTCTAGTACTTCATCTTGGCCTTCACTGCTTTAATTAACATCACCTTTGTACAATTATTGTTGAAAATACACCTCATAAAACTTATTTCCATGTCTAAGGCTCAAATTTGACACACATTTGCACTTTCCATTCACATGCAGCAATACTCAACATCTTGAGCAGTATATCCAAATGCGACCCTGATCTGAGAATTATTTAAGAAGGAGAAATCACAAGGTATTTTTCTAATATACAATACCAGCAGTATTTGGTTTTCTCAAAATGATCTTAGTTCATCTCTTCAGTAAATGAATCTCTTCAGTAAATGAATGACATTTGTGTTGATATTACTGTTTTAAAATAAATATTTGCTCTCCAACCGCTGAACAATATCCAGATATCATTCAATAACTCACTTAACAAGATATTAGGATTTAATAAGAAAAAGGTCCAATAGAACATTACCTCGACAGCTTCCCATCCCCACTGCCTGTACTTCGGGTCATGAGTGAGCCGCCACATGTACATGTAGGTCTCTATAACTTCTGGTCGTAGGATGTAGTATTTTTCATTTTGTCTTGTAGCAATGGCCTCAACACCACCATCAAATCTGAAGGCTTCTGGTCCCAGTTTCATGCCTAGCCAATATAAAAACACATGCTAAATAAAAGCATTAAAAAAGGTTTCAAATTATGTAACCTACCAAATCAACTATCCTTTCATGTGGCACAAAGCCTGGCTACCCAAAAGGTATATAATTTCTGAGCAATAATGCAGCACCTCCCGTTTTTAATATTTTGTAAATAATTGAGAGGAGAGAGCTGTTCACCAATGCCTTAAACAGCAGTACCAGTCTGAACAGTGATGCTAACATTTGCATTCTGAAAGACCATATAACTAGCAACATGTGAAATTTTGCTTAAAAGACAAGGATATTTACTTTTCTGTATCAAGCTGGAAAATACACTCTGGGACTTGAAATGCTGCCAGGGTTATTTCCATAAGAAGATGAAAGAACCCAAAGAAATTTCCTGCACAGAAATCCACTTTCTTTATGAAGTCTATTCTTTGCAGCATTGTACCAACATTGAGAATAAAATAATTTTTTGTGCATAAAACATGATTAATAGCTATATTGATGCATAAATGAACAGGGATCTTCTCTTATTTGTATTCGGCTATACAGAAATTGGCAAAGTGGAAAAAAAGGTTGTCATGTTAATTGCTAGAGTGAGTAGATAGGATTCAGGTGCAGGGACATTATTTATAAAACAGAGCAGCCATTCTTGAAGTCACTCTTAAAGGATTTGTAGCATTTGCTCAGAAAGGATGAAGAGTTCTCGCCATCATACAACTTTCATTCAGCACTACACAAACATACTGATAGCTGCCTTCGCAAAGTCAAACTGTGAAACTAAACTCTGCAATACAGTACTTACTTGTACGATCATAGGATTCATGGCAAGTCCTAGCAATTTCAGCACCAAGCTCGATGTGGTGGCCTGTCTTGTCATTAGGTGCTCCATCTGCTCCTAGAGCAAACATGCCTCCAGCAAAACAAGTGAGATGTCCCATCTTGTGTTCAAGCAGTCCACCCTTCCACTCAGCGATGTATGTCAGCCCCCCACTTGATTTTCGAATGAGGTGTGTCTCTATAGCCTGCAAAAGTACATGATTTCAAACCAAAGATACCATTTGGTAAAGTATGAAGGACAAAGTTATCGTGTCTGTTGGTTCGTTTTTCTCCATGTTGCCTTTGCATTTAAAGTAAAATGGATATGACCTAGCATAACCTCAAAGTTCAGCCAAATCAGCACAGATTATCATACATCAGCAACAAAGATTAATTTTGCTACATCTTTGAGAAATTTACTCAGTACATTTTATAAAAATATTGGAAAGACCTAAAAAATACAATTCCATTTTAAAATTATTTTATTCCTTTCCCTTTCTACTTTGAGCAATTTCAGGCAATTTCACTTTTCATAGTGATTAGCCATCACTTCATCTTCCAGACTTCCCATTTAATTTTGACTTAAAGGATGTGGTTTATTGATATAGTTTCATGTCAATTAGATGCAGACATAACTCATATTCAAAGTGCACTGAATAATGTTAGGCCTCTGAGTCTGTATGGCATTCCCAAATCACAATGAGTTTCCCCTCCCAGATGAATTCCTCTGAAGTGATCAGTCTAGTGTAGGGTTCCACTGAGATTTTGGAAAACACCTAAGCAGAATAAAAATATACAAATCTCCTAGAGAGAATTAGAAGTTGGTGCTATTAGCAGTGTATGGTCACTGATTACAAAATCCAGGAAAACAACCTTCCCTTGTGGGAGGAACAGAATTAAAACAATAGAGGAGATGCAGAAGAGTACATTAATTAGAAGCCCACACGGAAAGCAAGCTATTACTCTTTAAAGGGTAATGGAGAGGAGACAAACGACGCTATCATACATTCAGTTATCTCACAGTGCTCTGGTCTATTCTACTGAAATTGTAAGATCCAGAAACAGTACTCAACAGGCATTGTACAAAAGAAAAAAACTTGAATAAAATATCAGTACAGAGAACTATTAACAAAATATCTCAGATTTTAAAAAAAGTGTTATAAAGAGAAGGTATTGACTGAAGTTGTTTCTTCCCATTTAAACATCTGTAGAGCTTGTTTTTATAGGAATAAAAAAATCTTCTCTAAACTAGAAGCATCAGCAGAAAAACTGTACAAGTTTTACTTACTAAGTAGTTCTTTTGTGCCAAGAATGTCACATTGAAAACTACACTTTGTTTTCCACTAATATTAGTGCAAAGCACTTAGTAAGGATGTTTTCTGCTCAGCTCCAGATCTACTATTTGCTCAGAAAACTCCTCCATCCCTTTGTTTCCTCCTTGATTGTATGTTTTTAGCATTAGCTACCTGCTGAAAAGCATACCTACATTTTAAAGCAGCAGTAAATAATAAAGATTCCTATGCTTTAAACAAATCCTACATAATTTAATCTATAAAAAAAGGAATTAAATATGAAAGGGCAAAGGTGGGAAAACAGTTTCTTTAAGCATCCAAACCACAGACCCCGCTGTGGAAGATGAAAGAATTACAGAGGGTGAGTAGGTGTCGACCTATTTGGAGGTCGAGTATTCCAAGTGCATATAAAAAAAAGCTTTTCTGTCAGGTTAGGAAACTAGTAGTGGAATACCTAGGTACTTTTTTTTAAAAAAAAATCCTTTAAAACATGTCTCTTGTGCTCACTTGGGTATAAAATATTTGGATTTATAATTGAAGAATTGACAGAATGGAGTTGAAAGAACTTGCTACAAAATGTATTAATGCATAAACAGGCAAAATTTGTGAGAAGATAGAAATAATTGGAAAACTTCCAGAATCTTTCAGAGTGCTGTTCGCATTTTTATTAAACAGTTTATATTTTGTAATAAGATGGATGCACAACAGTTTTGTGGGAAATAGCTCTCAGGCTACTTAGGCATTCTAAAAAATAAGCTACCTAAAACCAAGTTCAGCGATTAAAAACTTTACATTTCATTAAACCTTTCAGCATGGTATCCCCCATCTCACCAGATCAACAATTCTGGCAATAGCTGATAACTCTACTGGTCACTTAGCTGTTGAGTCAGAATTTATTTTAAAAGTAAACAAATATAAAAATAGATCGATGACTTAATTTACCTATATTGCATTTTTTTTAGTAAAGAATTAATGAAAGATAGAATGAACTATTACTGTACCTGAGAGAAATAACAGTAATCATGCACCTTCAGAACTACAGTAACTAGTCCAAAGTTGATTCTTGTAGTATGAAAATGGATTTTGTGATACCATTTAGTCTTTCAGAGTTTTTTCCCCTCTTTAGACACAAGATTAAAGTTCAGGCTGAAAAAAAATCATTTCCACTTGGGAAATTTTAAAGTTATTCTAACAAACTGGTGTTAAGAAACTAACAAATTGATGATAATGGATATTAAAAATGTCACAAAATAAAAATATATTTCCAAATTAATTATCCATGTTTAGTAAAGCAAATCATCTTGGTTTTATATATGGGTCCTATTAAGAACTAGTACGTATGCCTATTAAAAGTTATTTTTATTATGTATGCCTATTAAAAGTTATTTTTATTATGTGTCTTATTTAAAGCTATTTTTATTAGGTAATTATTTGATATATCACAGATTCTCAAACTGCCTTGTCATGCTTTGTAAAATCACGGGTCCCTGAGTGCTAGATAATACCTATACTGATGTATATAACTTTATGAATGGCATACTAGGTAACTAATCATTTCTACCTAGACATGAAATCCAAATAACCTTTGATATGTACAAATAACCTTCAGAAGACATAAGCTCAAGTGTGCCAAACTTGCAATTTCATCAGCACTCAACAATCTATTACTCTGGAAGACAGATAAACAAATACTGTAACTTGGTAAAGCCTAAATTTCATTTTTATATGCTTAAGAATTAATAGTTTCTAAAAGTTACTTGATTTAAGCAACCTGACCTCCACCAAACAGCTTTCGTAAAGTGTGAAAGGCAGAGGAGTGTCTCTTCCCAGAGGGCTGGTAGGTCTTTTTGTGGTACTGGGTGGTGCACCAGCAGAGTTCACAAAACCACTGCCAGGGACCTTACAGCAGGCTTTCAAAAGTTTCAGCTCAATCTGCTAAGTTTCTTCATGGCCCATTTTTGGTCTGAGCTAGAGAAAATGTTTTTGTCAGAAATAGGTTCCCCTTCTCTCATCATTATTCATCTACCCTCCAACTGAGAATACAGAGACTAGCTGCTTGCCCTGAAACAACATTCTCCAAAGGCTTGCTAACGAATTTGCAGTATCAAAGCCGCATGAAGTTTGGAATAATTCCAGCATGGCACTGAAGTGTCAGATTATAATGAATTTGTTAGGTGTGTTCCAGTTGTTTCAGGAGCTCAACATAAAAAAAAAAAAAAAAAAAAAGTTAAATGTAAATGCCTTTGATCTTAAGAAAAATGTATAACCTGCATTTATACAAACATTATACCAACATTAACTATCGATGATTCATTGAAATTTTGAACTCCTGTATCAGTAACAGTATTTACAGCATTAAGATGTGGTAAAACCTTCTTTTGTCCCCACAAGTCCAACCTACCTATAGTTTAATTTCAGAATTTACTTCCAAATATTGTTAAAACACTACTTCTGGAATGTATAATGTTTGGATAATGCATTTGGATAATGCATTAGTATAGTAAGATATTTTCGAAGTAAACATTAAACAAAAATCAATACTCTTTCAATTATCAATTCTAAATCTATACCCAAACTGCTCAAGTGCCATCTATCATCCATCTATTGGAAATTCACAAAACTGCTATTCACATTTTTGGGTATTTTTTTGGTGGTTGCAATATGTAATTCTGTGAGCAGAACATCGAAATATTTTTCAGTGAGTTTCACAAAAGTTGTAAGTGCCATCAGGCTGGACTGAACTTACTGAAGGAGGTTCATTTTTTAAATAAGCTTGAGGCCCAGAGCAGGAATACATGTGCAATTGTTTTAAGTATAAAAAAACTTGAACGCGAAGTTGAGAAGGTACTAGGAAGAGAAGAAATGCTATCAGTTTAAACAAAGATATAGTAAGGGTGCCTGAACTTGAGCAGTAGGATGGAAAGGCAGGGTTACCAACCCATAGGGAAATGCCTGCTTGCTATCTGCAGTGCCCTGGGCACAGTTCTGGCAGGAAAATCAAGCTACTAAACCAAATTATTATAAAAGAAGAATAGGTGACAAAGATCCACACAAGCGAAAAGCTCCATTTGGTAGAATTAATTCTGAATTTCATACTTAGAATCAATTTACTTTCATTTTGATATAATTATCTACACACTTAAAAAGAGATATGCTTGTTTGAATTGCAGCTCTATTATAACTTGGTCTCCACCTACAAATAATTCCTTCCTGTACTGCTTGCAGATCAGGTGGTATCATTTATCACTATAGAGACTCTTATTTCATTTTACTGTAATGAATGTTCTCAATATAAGCCGATATACAGTATCTGCAAATAATGAAAAAAGCTAGAAGAATGTGGTCTTTGATTAGCTGAAAATACATTATTGATGGATAATTGTTTGGAGTTGGTACAGTTTTTCTTTTAAGTAAATGGAAATCTCATTTTACTGTTTTCCAGAACGTATTTGTGCAATTCAAATAGTAATTTCTTTCTTTCCATCAAGGTAAAGCAGAGAGACTGTGCAACATTAAAGGTTGCAAAGAAAAAGTGGCTGCAAATATATGTTCCCAAGGGGAGCAATAGCTCACTTGAATTTAAAAAAAATAATAATTCAAAGAAGCAAATGGAGACAACCTAACTTTAGACCGTCCTGGACAGAAAAGGACACGAAGGAAGAGAAACTAAAGGAAAACAAACATTTGACAGATATTTAAAGAAATAAATTTGCTACATTTAAACCTGATACGGCATATGGTTTGTCGTGTATCTACAAGCTCTTACAGCCAGACTAACTTTTACGGCTGATACAGTTCCTGACAATTTTTTTTTTTGTGTGTGTGTGCTTTTATGTAAGGCTCTGCTTACAGTCCTCACTGCAATAAAGCCTTTAGCTAAATTACTTTTTTTTCCATCTTGTGGGAAATTATTC